CCGTTAGGAGATCATATCCGTTTTTAAAGTTGCACAGCCGACTGGAAATTTTTCTTCGTGAAGATCTGCAATCAAGTGAAGACTTCTGATGGCCAAGAATGGAGCACATGCCATGCCGTATGTTACCGTGTTCAACTGAAAAAGACTTAGAGGATCATTTACAGATGTTCTCCAATAAATTAATTGATAGCTACGATCTTGCGGTTCTACGACAAATTGCCGATACATTTTGCAAATGTCAGCGGTAACTCCGTAACGATGCAATCGAAATGCTAATAGTGTTAAGATAAGATTTTGCTGAATTGTGGGCCCAATCATAACCAGGTCATTAAGTGAGCAATGTGCTGTGGTTTGAGCTGACGCATCGAATACCACACGCAACTTAGTTGTCGAACTCTCTGGTCGTACTACACAGTGGTGTGGTATTACGTAATGTGGAGAAGTCAATTCCAATCCGTTACATGGGCTCATATGCCCAAGATCCAAATTCTTGCAAGAATGCTGAGTACATTTCCTTTAATGCAGCATCACGTTCAAGGCGACGTTCGAGTTGCAGGAAACGGCGTTTAGAAATGTCGATGGACTCTCCAAGTAAATTTGGAGACTGCTCAAATGGCAAAGAGACTACAATGCGACCATTTGCGAGCACCTTAGCGTGCCCCTTGAAATGATTCTCACATTCTTGTTCCTCTGGAGTATATATGGAATGTTTCACCTGGTCTTTTGCGAAATCTTCAAGTTCCCAGAATTTTTTCAGTATTGTGTCAAGTCCATTACGCGTAGCGACATTGAACGTGTATAAATTCGATCTAGACTTGCTGTCCAATTTTCCCCCAACAATCCAGCCCAATGTGGTATTGATTAGTCGCGGTGAGTATTCACTTAGTGTTTGGTTGTTACCGATGAATATTTCAAAGAAGACTTGCGAGCCTAGCAACAAATCGATTTTTTTGTGGTTTGTAGAAGAGCGGATCAGCCAGTATAATGCCTTCTGAAAGATTCCAGTTGGTAGTGTCCAAACAATGTTCTGGCTGCTGAAGCGAAATTCGGTTTGTGACGGCAAGATCTGAAGTGAATTCATAGCTAGACACTCGAGATTTAATAACTGTTTTGACTGAAAACCGCAAGTTGGTTAGAACATCTGCAATACCAGGAATTTCTTGATTATTTCGCTGAAACCCAAGTTGAAGTCGTTTAGCCAGCTCTTCAGTAATGAAGTTAATTTCAGAGGACGAGTCTAGAAGAGCCCGCGCTGTTTGAAAACTGCCATACTTGTCTTTGATTAAGACAAGAGCTGTAGGAATAAGTGCACGCCGAGTACTTTGTGATACTAACGATTGAACAGGTGGTTGCGACGCAATTGTTTCACTCATATGAGCTCCATTGTTATCTGCCGAGATATGACGATGCAACGCGGTATGGTGTGAATTTTGGCATACACGGCGTTTTGATTTGGAAGGACATTTTGAAATCATGTGTCCTTTACGAAGACAGTTGAGGCAAAGATTCAGTTGTTTGGTCAACTTATACCTGTCCCCTACTGGAAGCGACAGGAACTGAGGACAACTTGCTAAATGATGATCAGTTGACTGGCATTTTAAACAATTCGATGGTGATTTGCTTTGTGCAGTCACGAATGAGCTTGATGCTTGCTTATGATGTGCGCCTTTGCTCCTTTCATATTGCGGTTTCATGTTGCTTTCGAGAATTTGGCAATGCCGACTTAAAGTGTCGTAACAGAATTCCCAAGTTGGTAATTTTTCGAAGCTTTGCTTCCTGTCATAAGTAAGTTTTGACTCTCCATCTATCTTTGATAAAACTAATTGAATAATTATCGCGATCATAACGTCTGCCTCGGAGCCCAAAGACAACAACGAACCTCGGAGAGCAGAAACTGTGTCTAGAATTGTGCGGAGACTTGATGGATCCGGCTTTGGCATGGTTTGAATAATGAACAAGCTAGTTATGTGTTCTAAAAATATTAATACCCGTTTGTCGTAGCGCTCCTCAAGTTGTTTGAGTGCCTTTGTGTAGTTTTCCTCTGACACTTGGAACGGTGCGACGACGTTCAATGCGTTGCCTGACAAAGAACTCAATAAATAGTTAAATTTGTCGATGACTGGTATAGATTTATCCTCATGAACCAGGTTTCGAAACGATGTAATGAAGCGATTATATTCACCGTATTTGCCATCAAACTTAGGCAGCTTTAATGACGGTAGACGACTTTGGTGCAAGATATTGGAGCAATTTGTCACATTAACGACACCGGAGTCATCAGGCTTATCTTTTCTGCCCTTGCCTATACGCCTTTATATCATTGCCTTTGCAGCGACGAATAAGTCTTCAATTTCGGCTCGATGCTCGTCATCTGGATCGATTTTTTCAATCTTCGTTTGCAATTGGCAAATTTGTTGAAAATATGCCTCCAAAATTTCCGCTCGACATTCAACGACTGCAAGATCACCCGGCTTATCTTGTTCGATTTTGGCGGCGATGCTTTTTAAATTTCTTTCCATTGTGGCGCGTTGTTGGCGTAACCCGGATAACTGCTCCTCCTGACTTTCTGCTTTTGCCTTGCTCATTATTAAATGTAGCTAGCGGTGACTCGAAATGATGCTATATTGAGTGCCGTAATTATAGTTTGAACACCATAGTTCAACGTGTAACGAAAAAAATGCACTACAACGATTTAAAGAATTCAGGACTTAGCCATTTGCCAGGTATAAGCCCCGTCACGGTCGCCACTGTTTGAACTCAAATTAATGAGCCTCGTAGAAGAAAAACTCGACTGCTAATTTTCACTGATTTATTTCGACTAACCACTTGTACATTGTGCTAGAAACTTATAAAGCAAAACTCTTATTGGAAAGAACCAGTTATCGTAACATCGAATGATGTTGAGAGAACAATTGATAATAACAATTTACAGTATTTGTGTTGTTATGCTAAGGAATGCGTTGATATGTATAACCCTATATATATGAATGTATGTAAATATGTATATAACTAAGTTAAGATGTGCGTAACTATGTGCGTACCCACTTGCTGTAGCAAAGACATTTGCATGTACGTACATATGTAAATAAGATAAAGAAAAACAACATCGGCCGATATGTTTCATGTATGCACCTATGCATGCAGCGCAGGCACAGTGGTACAAGACTGTAACTACTTTGTAGAAATATACACAAATTCATCTGCTCCAACAAGAATTATGCAATATGTAAAATAAACTAAAAATATTGAAATTAAATGAAGTATTATAACTTGTTCGAAACGGAAAGTGATTGGGAAAGCTTTACTAGAGATTTTTTGTTTAATGTTTCTACTTATCCAAATCCGGACAGTTTGAAAAAAGAGAATTTACGATATCTTATCAAACGAAGTGATAAGTTGGTATACAAATTACGCA